ATGAAGAGAGGACTCTAGAGGAGACGGCAAAGGGACACGCTGCAGAGCAGTGGAAGGACGCAGAGACATCCTGTGCGTACCAGGGACAGGAGGAGGACGCTGACGCGAACCACAACCACCAGTGCGAGCAGCCCGGACAGGTGACGCAGGACGAGATGCAGGCTCACGTCGCTCAGCAAGACCTCCAGTAGGACCAGTGTAGGGAGAAGGAGCAGGGAGAGGGGAGGCGAGCTGTAGCTGTGACTCGGACAGGACAGGCTGTGGACACTCTAAGGGAGGAGCGGGACTACTAGAGGGCGGAAGACCAAGAACCTGCTCAAGGAGCGGAACGAAGTACGGCCGCGGCCGCGCAGTGCCCTCAGAAACAGCAGGAAAAGCACCAGTACCCCCAATGGCAGCACCAGCGCCAGCACCCCCAACGACAGCACCAGCGCCTATAGCACCCCCAGCGCGAGCAGCGCCAACACCAGCAGCTCTAGCTCTAGCTCCAGCACCGCCCGTAGCTCCAGTACAAGGAGCACCCCAATGCCAAGCAGCTCCAGTACCTCCAGTACAAGCACCTCCGGGACCTAAGGCACCAGCACCCTCAGCAGCAGCAGAACCTCCAACTCCAGTGACACCTCCAGCTCCAGCAGCACGGCTCCAGGGCCGAGCAAACCACTCGCGCAGCTCCTGGGGAGAAAGAAGCTCCCGCTGGGACGAAGCACCCGAAGGACCACTAGACCCAACACGAGCAGGCCCAGTACCCTCATGCTCCGCACCCCCAGCCGCAGCACCCCCAGGCTCAGCACCCCCAGGCTCAGCACCCCCAGAGTCAGCACCTCAAGGCTCAGCACCCCCAGAGTCAGCACCCCCACACCCCGCACCCACAGGCCCAGCACCCCTAGCAGCACCAGAGTCAACAGCTACCTCGAAAGGCTCGACCGTGTCTACCTGGGACACCCCTGAGGAGGCAGGACCCTGAGGGGGGAAGGGGGTCTACCGGGGGGGGACCTGGCACGAGGAAAAGTGGCGGCGGGGGGAGGGGTGCAGCGCGGTAGGGGAAGAGACGGTAGTAGGGAACCGACTCGTCAAACGTGGCGTCCTGGGAGGACAGAACATGGCGCGAGGTGGGGTGGTAAAACTGCCAACCATGCGCGTCAGGGGGGAAGCCAAGGAAGACGCAGGGAACCGTACGGGGGGACAACTTGTCCGCAGACAAGTCGCGAACAAACGCCCGAGATCCCCAGACACGGAACGTGGACGCATCACCAACCTTACCCGTCCACCGCAGAGTAGGGGAGGTCTCCGGCATGGAGACCCGGGGCTGAAGGTTGATCTGATGCGCCGCGTACTGAATCGCGAACGGCCACAGAAAATGGGGAGCAGCCGCATGGATCATGGACGTACGAGCGACATCCATCACCATGCCAATACGACGCTCAGCAATCCCATTTTGCTGTGGAGAGGCCGGAAGCATGAACGTCTGGCGGATGCCTCGTGCACGACAGTAGGCTCGCAGAAGGTCAGAGGAAAACTCTCCGCCTCTGTCAGAGTGCAGACGCAGAACACGAAAGTTTGAGCCGAAACTCTCTCTGAGCTGGAGACGAGCTGCGCGGATCTAGTCGATCAACACCCCCGTGACCTCACCCTTGGTGCGCAAGGGGAAGACGGTGGTGTAACGCGAGTAGTCGTCAACCACCAGCAGGAAGTAATGCTCGTGACCCTGTCCATGGACGCGGGCTGGGCCCCATACGTCCATGTGAAGCGTCTGCAGCGGAGCCTCTGTCTGAGAAAACTCGGAGGAGTGAGGAGCGGCGCGCTGCCGCCCCTCGACGCAGGGGACGCAGGTAGGGGCAGGCCTCGGAGGAAGGGGAGGGAGGGACCGTGGGAGACCAGAGACAAGGACACGGGAGGCCATGCCTCGGAGACGAGGCAGGGAGGGGTGACCAAGGCGGTGGTGCCAGAGGAGAGTCTGGTGAGAAAGGAGACGACACGAGCAGGGGGCAGACTCGGGACCAGACCTGGACACTGCTGCAAACACCTGACCCGACGCAGCTACCTGACCAGACTCAGCTCCCGGAGGAGACTCAGTAGTCAGGGTGTATAGGCTCGACCCCGGTTGACGGGTAAACGTGGCCAAGTGTCAGCCCGTCCGAGCACACGTACAGTGGGTCACCCGCTGACTCGCAGGAGTGAACTGGTGAACCCCTCCATCGTGTAGGTCAGCACCACTCACCAAGTTCGTAGAGAACGAGGAGAGGTAAAGACCTGACAGGGTGCCAGAAGGGGCCGCCGGACACGGTAAGACAGTGGAGAAGCGGGCAAGGACACGACCCCCAGAGGGGTCTGCCAGAGAGACCGCCACTGGCCGACGAAGCGGCATGAGTGTGGTGCGGTCTCGAAAGAAGGAGAGGGAAGCACCCGAGTCAAGGGTGAAGGTGTGACAGGACTGAGCTTACGTGGTACCTGAGAGAGCAGACTCACCAGCACCTGGGGCAGCAGACGCACTAGCACCTGGAGGAGCACCCTCACCAGCACCTAGAGCAGCAGCCTCAATGCCCGGGTCAGGCGGGACACACAGGTAATAGTCACCCTCATCACTACTAGACACAGCATACATGGCAGCAAGAATAGCATCAGATTCTAGATCAAAGATAGCAACCCCCGACCTAAACAGCTCGCCCCAGCGTGGGATCTCAGAGGCATCCGGGAACTAGAGACGCCAATTGTCCGTCAGGCGGCCGAAGCAGCGCTGGGTGGACTGCGGGCCCCCGCACTGCTCACCAGTGCGGTTGCCAGTACGCAGGATGTAAGTACAGGGACCAGCACCCCCACCCCGCTGACGCGCAGCGTACCACTCTCGAAGCTGCTGAGGAGAGGGGGTCTCACGAGCGCGCTGCTGCTGCTGCTGGCGCTGACCACCACCGGAGCCTCCCCTCTGGGCAGAGCCACCCCGATCAGCGCCACCGCCGCCGCCGCCACCTCCACTACCGCCGCCACCGCAGCCTCCTCCGCTCCCACCGCCACCGCCTCCGCCTCCTCCGCCTCCACTGCCGCCACCGACGCCCCCACTCTCGCCACCACTCCCACCACCACCACCCCCACCCCCTCCGCCGCCTCCACCACCACCTCCACCGCCCACACCAGCTCCTCCAGCGCCCTTGCCCCCCTTGCCCTTGCCTATGCGGCGTCTCCCGCTGGGGGCAGACGCCGCGCCGACCAACTCAAGACCAACGAGGTCGGCTGCAGCAGCAGAGGCAACAGAGGGCAAGAGGGGGGAGGGGGGACACCCCTTAAAGAAAGGGGTACGAGGGTCACCATGAGAGGCTCCTACAGCGACTATACTCTTCTCAGCTGCCAGGAGGCGCTCCTCGAGGATGTCAACAGTGAGATTGGTGGGGCAAACAGAGAGGAAGTCGTCCCTGACCGAGCGAAGGGAGTCAGGGAGCCGGTTGACTATGTAGTAGAGGGTGACATACATGGGGGGGGGGGGGGGGGGGTTCTTGGCGCAGAACTCAGAAGGAAGCACAGCACGGTAGCGGGTGTAACTAGTGCGAAGGTGCGTAATGAGGTCAGCGACTATGGGAAAAGCGGCAAGGTCAGGGAACAGGTACGGCAGCATGAGGCGGCTAAGGGCAGCAGTGGCAGGGGAAGAGTAGCGTGCAACTACAGCATCGTACAAGGTCTTAGCACTCTTGTACTGACTAAAATGCGCACGCTCAGTGGTCGGTAAGTGACGGCGCACAGCAAGACGGGCAGCAGCATCGCGTGTGGCCCACTGTGAGCGAACAGTGCTGTCAGCATCAGCAGCAGGGGCAGGAGAGGCACCAGACGTGAGGTCAAACAGGGAGAGTCCGTCTGTCCTATCGCACTGTAGGAAAAGTTGTAGATCATCGACCCAGACCTCAAAGTCGACAGCCCGACCCTCAGCATCAAAGGTAAGAACACTAGGGGTGGCCATGGCAGTAGTAGGCTAGCTGCAGCACAGTGGCAGAGGCTCTTACCAGGCGGGTGGGTAGGTCCGAGGCGCGCCGGCAGGAACAGGGCCGCGACTGCAGCGACGGCGGGCCTCGATTGCGGCGGCGGCGGCAGCTGCTGCTGCGGCTCGGCTGCGGTGGCGGCTCGTTGGTGGCGGCTGCAGCTGCGGCTGCGGATCGACTGCGGCGGCGGCTCGGCGGCGGCGGCTCGACGGCGGCGGCGGCTCGTCGGCGGTGACAGGGCCGGTAGTGGCGGCGGCTGCAGTCGGCAGCGGCGGCGGCAGCACGGCAGAAGTGGCCGCTGCTGCTGCTGGGGCCTGGAAGGGCGGCGATGGGGCCGTGAAGAGCGGCAACGGGGATGCTAAGGGCGGCGATGGGGCCGCGAGGGGCGATGACGGGGCCGCTGAGGGCGGGGACGGGACCGCTACGGGCGGCGACGGGGCCGCGAGGGGCGGCGACGGGGCTGCTAGGGGCGGCGACGGGGCCGCGAGGGGCGGCGACGGGGCCGCTGAGGGGTGGCGACGGGGCCGCGAGGGGCGGCGACGGGGCCGCTAGGGGCGGCAACGGGGCCACGAGGGGCGACGACGGGGCTGCTAGGGGTGGCAACGGGGCCGCAAGGGGCGGCGACGGGGCCGCTGAGGGGCGGCGACGGGGCCGCGAGGGGCGGCGACGGGGCCGCTGAGGGCGGCGACGGGGCTGCTAGGAGCGGCGACGGGGCCGCTAGGGGCGGCAACGGGGACGCAAAGGGGTGGCGACGGGGCCGCTAGGTGGCGGCGACGGGGCCGCTAAGGGTGGCGACGGGGCCACTAAGGGCGGCGACGGGGCCGCTAAGGGGTGGCGACGGGGCCACTAGGGGCGGCGACGGGGCCACTAAGGGCGGCTAAAGGGCCGTGTAAAGGCAGGGGACGCGACGGGAGGGCGGCCCACGGGGCGCGCCTCGGGCAGGGGCGACTCGCGCTCTGGGCAGAAAAAAAAACAATTTATCGATTTTCAGTGGTGGGCCCTAGGAAGCGTTCCCAATAGGGAACCTGCTCTGATACCATGTATGCGCATGCTGAGCTTGAAGGCCGCGGTGGTGGAAAATGCAAAAGCGCCAAGGCGCCGGCGGCTGTGCTGAGTCTCTCGGGCAGGCACTCGCAGGATGTGGCTGGTGGCGAGGAGCAGGCGCTGCCCAAGCCAGTCTTTGAAGGTATGTGGTTCCCCCTTTCCCTCTCTGGTTGTTTTTTAGAATTCCGTCCACGTTTATTGTTACAAGGTGCACCAACAACTATGTCGATGGTGAAATGACACCTACATTGTCCCGAATTTGTTGCTTTCGCAGTAGGGATAGCAAACAAGCGAGGTGGTGGCGGTATCAACCATGACGAGGATGAGCCTGGAGCAGTGGCTGATGGGAAAGAGCATGGACGTGAAGCTATGATCGCGTACAAACGACGCAAATATGTGGACTCGGGCGGTCGCGACCAAAAAGCAAGACAAGCTCGATAAGGCCCGAAAAAGTATGTGTCGAGCTCGTCGGGTTCGGAGGAGGGATCCAGCGACAGTGAATTGGGCAGCTCATCTGGGAGTGAGGAGGTATATGAGGACGAGGATGACAAGGAGGAGGAGGAGGAGGAGGAGGAGGAGGAGGAGGAGGAGGAGGAGGAGGAGGATGAGGAGTTGGAGCCGGAGAGCGAGGATGGGGAGGAGGCTCGGCCTTTGAAGAGGAGGAGTGTGCGGAAACCCAAGAAGGGCAACGAGAAGTGAAAATCGGAGAAGGGACGAATGAAGAGCTGTAAAAGGAGTGTGCGTTGTGCCAAACCACCTAGCAAGAGCCACAGACCTCGATCCGTAGCTAAAATTATGGGTGTGCGTCCTAAGGCGAAGCGGGAGTTGGATTTTTACGAGTCCATGGGTCTACGAGGTCCGTCAAGCTCTTACGGCCGGAAAGCCGCGGGGGGGCTGAAGCAGAAGGATTGAGATGACCCGTACGCTGCGTTACGCGAGCCAATGGATTCGCCTGAGAAGAGAGATCCAATGGCTTGGGGGTCATCGCGTTTTAGCAAGGAAGCGACGGACCCGCCTGCAAAGCATACGCGGGGTCACGCAGTTCATGTGAAAATCGAGGGGGCAACGAAGCGGCACGAACCCTCGGCTGCTGCAGCAGCCAATGACGGTGTGGGAGGAGGTGTGTGGGCGAATGCCTTGGGTGAATGTGGCGGCAGTGTGTAAGGCTCCATGTGGGATGTACGGGAAAGCAAGGGAGAAGGAGGAGACGCGAAAATGGAGCCGGCGACTAAGGAGGGGAGGGGAGAGATCATGGGTACACCTGGCGCATCCATTCGGCCCGATATGGCTGGCGGCAAGACTCAGGAGTAGCTCTTGCGAGAGCTTGCTCAGCGGGACCGCGAAATTGCGGAACTCAAGGCAAGGCCAGGATCCAAAGGACCAGTCAAACCCTGCACCCCTCCGTCCAGGCCTCCTCCTCTGGCGTCCATGTCGAGCGGCCCACCTGCGGAGGGACCCGGTCCAGGCGTGGCGCCAGAAAGCCCAGCGACGAAAGATGTACCGGTCCGTCGAACGCGTGGGATGCCCACACCCAAGCAGCTGAAGGTGAGTATGTTTTTGTGCTTGGCAATGGGTGGCATGGGGCTCAGTGATAGCTGCAGCCCTCTCTCTCAACCCCTTGTTTCCCCCCCCTCTTTCTGCTGGTTAGCGTGTTGGTGGCATTATGCGCAGTGATAGCGGCATGGCTGCAGTGGGATAGGCACTCCCAGTACGACTCGCTTCAGGGAGGTGGCGCTGGGCATACGGTGCTCTCACACTCTGCCCCCTCTCCCCTATCTCAAGCCCCCTCTCCCCTATCTCAAGCCCCCTCTCCCCTATCTCACCGTAACAGTTCTCTCTCCTCTCCCTCCCCCCTCTCTCCCATCCCTCCCCTACCTCTTCCAGAGCCCCTGTTCATGGTGCTGGAGAACATGGGAGGTGGCGCTGGGCGTACGGTGCTCTCACACTCTGCCCCATCTCCCCTCTCTCACCAAAACAATTCTATCCCTTCTCCCTCCCCCCTCTCTATCCCATCCCTCTCCCTCCTCTTCCAGAGCCCTTATAAACGGTGCTGCTGGTAGCACGGGTGGCATGCGGCGCAGTGATAGCAGCAGCCCTCTCTGTCAACCCCACGTGACCCCCCTTCTTCCCGCCGCTCCTCCCTCCCCTTTCTTTCCCATCCCTCCCCCTCCTCTTCCAGAGCCCTTCTAAAAGGTGCTGCTGGTCGCGCGTGTGGCATGCGGGGCAGCGTGGGATAGGGGTGGCTGCAGTGGGAGTTGAGACTCCCAGTACGAGGAGAACATGGGAGGTGGCGCTGGGCATACGGTGCTCTCGCACTCTGCCCCCTCTCCCATATTTCACTCTGACTATTTTCTCCCCTCTCTCTCCCCTCTCCCTCCCATCACTCCCCTACCTCAGCCAGAGCTCCTGTTCATGGTGCTGGTGGTGGTGTGGGTGGCATGCGGCGCAGTGATTGCAACAGCCTTCTCTCTCAACCTCTGAATTCCGCCCTTCATTCGGACTCATCATTCATTTTTTCCTTTCCAATCCACCCGTCCGTCATAGATTCATTTCGCCAAGGGGCAGGACCGGATGTGCCTCGAAGCGCCAGACCATACCATAGACTTCTACCCAACGCTCGAGCAGCGCCTGCAGGTTTTGTATCAAGTTATCAGCGAGACACACATCATCAACATGATGCAGCTGCGAGAGGCTATGGAAGACAAAAGCATCGTCGACACCTTTAAAAGATCGAACGTGGCTTCCACCTCAAGCACGAAGTGCTCGTAACTTTTGGCAAGAAGGTGGAAGGCCTTCGTGCAGCTGATCTCTCACTTGGCACCAAGAAGGAGCGGAAGATGTTGAAGAAATACCATCCGAGTGAGTACTTACTTGCGTTACTATTTTACTTCCCCTATTGACATGTCTGCTTATGCACCCCTCGTGCTTGCCCCACGATGATGAAGTACATACCCCTAATGCATCCCCACTTTGGCACGCGACTACATACCTGCTCTCCTTGCCCAAGCTTGTAGAGCATGTGCAAACACATCATGACAGCCATACGTTGGTTCTTCTCCCACTCTCCCCTTCTCTCGCCCCCCTTTTATCTCCCGCCCTCCCCTTCTCTCCCGCCATCCCGTTCTCTCCCGCCCTCCCTTTCCCTTGCGCCCTCCCCTTCTCTACCACCCTCCCCTTCTCTCCCGCCCTCCCCTTCATCCATACCCTTTGGACAACCCTTAACCATGTCATGCATGATCACGTATGTCACATGCTGCCCCGCATTGTCATGCATGCGCACAGGAGGGAATCAGCGGGTCAGCTCGTGGGGGAACAACAGAGAAGGGCTCCCGTTCACCAACGGCCGGTTTGTAGATGCGGTCCGGGAATCATTTCGGGATTTCTGTGTCGGGCGCCGGGTGTGCGTCAAAGCCTACCACATAGCCTGGTCAATCATGGTGGTAAGACATTATTGCTCAACCCATGGTATGCTCTAGCTTTGCATGCTATTATAGCACCCCGACATGGTATGTGGGGCTATTTGCGAAGCCAGTAAACTCTATGCGAATGCGTCCACTAAAGTCTCATGTTCCCTCCCTCCCATACTTTGCTATGCTATTTCAGATTGACCAGGGCTTGTCAAAGGTTAAGACTGACTTGTACATCTCGAACTCCCACTGGAAAAACAGTGAATGGATGACGGGTTTGCACCGAAATGTGCGGAGGATTATCAAAGACCACTTTAGATGCCACACCCCCGTGTACAACACAGATATGCAGGGCTTCAAGTGGGGCGACAGTGGGCTGTATGTTCACGAGTCGGCGTTCTGGGGGACGGCCGAGCTTGATGATGAGAAGAAGGACCTGAAGGAGGAAGAGCAGGAGGTGTACGACACGGAGGACATGGAGACGGATGACGAGGAGGAGGAGGAGGAGGAGGAGGAGGAGGAGGAGGAGGAGGAGGAGGAGGAGGAGGAGGAGGAGGAGGAGGAGGAGGAGGAGGAGGAGGACGACGACGACGACGACGACGACGACGACGACGACGACGACGAGGACGACGAGGAGGAGAAGGAGAAACAGTGGGGGCAGGAGCGGAGGAAGAGCAAAAGGCACAAGAGATGCAAAATCAGGGGAGGCAAGGGGGATGAGGAAGAGGAGGAGTAGGAGGAAGAGGAGGAGGATGAGAAACGGGGGGGGCAAGAGCTTAGGAAGGGCAGAAGGCAGAAAAGAGGGAAAATCAGGGGAGGCATGAGGGAAGAGGAAGAGGAAGAGGAGGAGGAAGAGGAGGAGCAGGAGGATGAGAAACAGGGGGGGCAAGAGCGGAGGAAGGGCAGAAAGCACAAGAGAGGCAGAGGCAAGGGAAGCAGGAGGGAAGAGGAAGAGGAGGAAGAGGAGGAAGAGGATGAGGATGAGGATGAGAAGCAGGGGGGCCAGGAGCGGAGGAAGGGCAAAAGACACAAGAGTGGCAAAAGAAGGGGAGGCAAGAGGGCCAAGTGATGGGGTGACAAGACAAGGAGGGCAGCAGATGAGGCATGAGTGGAGTTTACAAAAGGGGGCAGCAGGAGAGGCATCACATACTTGCAAGGAGAGTTCAATACGATGTAGAGGCATTGGTGGAGACAGCAAGGGGGGCAGCAGGCGAGGCAAAAGAGTGGAGTCAGCATGGGGGGCAGCAAGAGAGGCAAAGGAGTGGAGTCAGCATGGGGGGCAGCAAGAGAGGCAAAGGAGTGGAGTCAGCATGGGGGTCAGCAGGAGAGGCAATGTGAGGAGTGTGCAAGGGGGGGCAACCAGCGAGGCAACTGGAGGAGACAACAAGGGGGTGCAGCAGAAAAGGCATGAGTGGAGAGAGCTATGGGGACAGCAGAAAAGGCACGAGTGGATAGAGAAAGGGGGACAGCATTAAAGACGGGAGTGGCGCAAGGGGGGCAGCAGTATAGCCATGTCTGGAGAGGACAAAGCAAACAGCAGTAAAGGCATGACTCGAGAGCGCCAGGGGCGGAGCAGCAGACGCATGAGAGGGCAGAACATGCGAGGAAGCAGTGGACGCAGGGGGAGGGCATGTCAACGGGAGTAGTGTTTGGCCCCGTCCTCGCTTGGGCGGAGCTGACCGCGGAACCGCAGGAGACCGCGGGAGGCCGCGGGCAACCGCGGGACCGCGGGAGGCCGCGGGAGGTCGCGGGAGACCGCGGGACCGCGGGAGGCCGCGGGAGACCGCGGGACTGCGGGAGGCCGCGGGACCGCGGGAGGCCGCGGGACTGCGGGAGGCCGCGGGACCGCGGGAGGCCGCGGGGCCGTGGGAAGCCGCGGAAGGCAACCTCGGGATCACGGGACCGCGGGGACCACGGTGGGCGCTGGTGGACGACCGGGGGCCACGGGGGCCGCGGGATACCCGGTCGACCAGGATACCCGGGCGACGTGGGCGAAAGTCGCCGGGGGTGTTCTCTGTGAGGACGACCTCGGGGGTGGTATCCCGAGGTCGACGTGGCTGGTGGGCGCCGTCACGGGTGGAGTGTCTGCGCTGGGCATGTGATGGGGAGTTGGACGCCAACCAGCTGCACGCACCTGCGAAGAAGGTGCACCGGTGTCCCGCGGATGCAACGCTGTGCAGCCGACTTACTACAGCGTTGGCACACCGCGGACTAGCAACGTTGGCAAGCCGCGACTCTGCTCTGCAGGAGCGCGGTCGACCAAGTCGTGCTGGCACGCGGTCGACCGTGCTGCGCTGGCAGTCGACCAGCAGCCTTGCTAGGTCTGATGTAGTCTGTGTTGCCAATGTTGATGCAATCATTCTGAACTTTTGTTGTCATGTTTTCATAGTGAAACTCTTACCAATTTTTCCCGTGAACTAGCAAGCAGTGTTAGCACTTGGAAACGACGAAGGAACGAACGAACGCAGAGATCACACGAGCATCCATGCCTAGCCCGTAGTCTAGCTCCCATTGCACTAGTTGTCTCCGCATGGTGCGGTGAGCGTGGACGACACCGCAAAGACACCTTCGGTTTAGCTTACTTCTCACTCACCTAGCTAGTTCGTAGACTAGCGGCTGTGCACAACGCCATGGTTGACCCCGTAGTAGAGGCGGGCGTCGTGGACACCCTGGAGGCACGGCTGGAGAACGCGAGGAGACATCATGCGGTGAACGAGTATGGAACTCTCCCGCTGACGGTCGTCGAGGCTGGCATCCGCGCCGTGTGGGCAACGGAGCACCCTTCCCGACCGGTGTCTCCTCGACCGGTGAACAACGCGGGCGGCGTCGACGCGGGAGTCAACGCCGCGGGTGACCAAGTCGGTAGCAACGCTGGAGGCACATCAAGGCAGCGAGGGGTGATTCACGCCAATGAAATCGGCGGCGTTCAAGCGCGAGGGATGCAGTCGTCCGCGGCTGCAGGGGCCTCGCAGGGCTACGTGGGAGGCAGACGATGTGAATTGGCGCCGATGTCTGCAACGCACATGACCGCGGGAGGAATTGCGCCGAGCTACGGCTACTTCAAGTTTACGCCGGACTGGATCTTGGTCACCCCTCCGCTGGTCGGTCGTCCCGACATCCTCACGTGGAAGGAAGCCATTGAGCCCCAGCTGGAGATGGCCGGGCTGATGGGCTTCACCTGCGGAACCGTGGCAACGCCGGAGGAGCACTACCCCGACCTGCGAGCGGAATTTTGTGCCGTGGAGTTGCTGACCTTCACGGTCATCTTGCGGTGTTGCTCACGAGGCGTACAGATCGCCCTGAAGTCGTGCAGGGAGTACCTCGACGCCGGCCACCGGGCATGGCATTTCATCGAATCAACTTACCAGGTCACCGACGACTTGTTCATCGCCCACCTTAAGGGGCAGTTGACGCACCTGTGTATGGGCGACGACGAGACCGCGACTGACTACTGCAACCGAGCTCGGCGAATTCTTGCCACCATTCGGATGGCTGGCGCAGAGTACTCAACGGCATTGTACGTTACACACGTCATGCAGAGACGTCCCGAGCAGCTACAACCTGCTGAAGCGGCTGTCGATGGCACCGAGCATGCGGGCGACGCTCAACGAGGACACATTGACCTCTTACATCCTGCAGGACGAGGCGATGTAGGAGGCTAAGTGGTCCTAGGAGCTCCTCGCACAAGTGAACTATGTCGCCCCGGTGAAGCAAGGGGGTTGGCCGGGACAGCGCGGGCAGTCTGGTGGCAATGACCACGGTGGCGGGAAGCCGGGGAAGAATGCCAACAAGTAGAAGTCGGCCAAGGATGGCGGTCGTGGAGGAGGAGGCCGACGTCGAGAATGCTGGCTGTGTGGTGATCCCGATCACCTCTCCTTCGAGTGTCCCGACCATAGTGACTCGGGCGACGACAACACCAGGGGAGGCCGCGGAAGGTTTGGCAGCCGTCATCCGCGTCGAGGAAACCAGCCACAAAAGGAGAAGCAATCGAAAAAGGACGCCGACTCCTCCGTGGGTGGAAAAGGGCGAGGCGACAAGGAGGCGTCGTGGTCGCTAGTCGGCGTCGTGGAGCCAAATGTCTCGTTGGCGCCGAATCCTGGCGAGGATTTCCTAGCGACGACGGCAGTTGTGCAAGCAAACCCCGCGGTGGTCCTGCTCGACAGCGGCTGCTCGCACCACCTGATGGGGACGGAGGAGGCCTTCGTCGACTTGGGGTCGAGCGGTGACGTGAAGCACGTGCGTGGCTTCAATGGGGCGCTGCAAGACGTTCGCGGCCGTGGCACGGTTGCGTTGCAAGGGGAGGCCGGGAAGCGGGTGCTCATCTCCGACGTTCTCTACGTCCCGGGCGTGCAGGCGAATCTGCTTTTGGCTTGCGAGCTGAAGGAGAGCGGGGTGACGCTGAAGGACGACGGCGACCGGATGTTGCTCGTCTCCGCGGCGGGGGACGTGCTCAGTCGAGCAACTTACACCGGCCGGGTCCTCTGCACTAACCTGCACCCATGCGCGGTAAAGTTGACGACGCCCGCGCAAGAGGAGGTGGCCCTGCGGGCGATAGTCTCGGCGACGAAGGCAACCCAAGACAGGATGCACGCGAGGCTCGCGCATGTTGGCATGGACATCATACATAGTTCGGCAAAGCACGAGGTCGCCACCGGCCTGGACCTCAAGTCGGCGTCTGGCCCCGACTCACTGTGTGTTTCGTGCGTTGGTGGGAAGCTGGCGCAGCACACCTTCCCCGACTACGGCTCCGACGCCGACGACGTCCTGGCCGTCGTGCACATCGACTTGTGCGGGCCATTTCGCGTGGCTGCCAAGGACGGCAGCCTGTACTTCTTGCTGCTGAAGGACCGCAAGACCCGCTACGTGTGGGTGAGGCCGGTCGCCAAGAAATCAGACGTGCTGCTGGAGTTCCAGAAGTGGCTGGTGCTGGTGGAGCAGCAGGCGAAACATTGGGTGCTGCAACTGCGTTCGGACCGCGAAGGGGAGTTCCTTGGAAAGGACTTCACCGCCTTCGTGGACAGCAAGGGAATCGTCCACGACTTGACCTGCCCCTACACCCCGCAGCAGAATGGGATGGCGTAGCGAGAGATGAGGACGGTGGTGGAGTCGGTGCAGACGATGCTGCTGCACATGGGTGTGCAGCACCACTGGTGGCATCTCGCTCTGCGGTGCGCAACTGCCTAGAGCAGTTGTCGCTGCCACCCGGGACAACGCCTTACTAGCTCCTCACTGGGCAGATGCCCGACTTGTCGATGGCGCGGGTGTTGGGCTGCATGGCGCAGTTCCTTGTCCCTGAGCAGTAGCCTGAAAACTGCAGCCTAAGGCTCGGTGGGGCCTTCACCTCGGCGTGTCGGAGGAGAGCAAAGGCTGGGAGCTCCTCGACATCGCCGACAACCGGGTGGTCACCACGTCAGACGTGGTGTTCTACGAAACTCTAACGCTGGAGGTGTGGAAGTCGGAACTCGGGCCAGCGTCGGGGCGGACGCGGGCCACCCCGCCGACGGACACCTCGACGGCGACGCTTCCTCTGCTCGCCGAGGTCGGTGAGCAGGCTGATGATGATGCAGCGGTCGCCCCTACCTCGCCATCCCCTGCCCCTTCTTCCCGTCCCCTTCCCGTCGAACTGCGTGGCCTAACTTCGGTGTCGGCCTCCGGCGATGAGGGGAGCCGTGAGGCGTCGCCTGTGGCGCCAGCCAAGAGCATCGCCGGTGGCCGACGTGACGCCCAGCCAGTCGT